CTCATGTAAACAAACAAAGAGAGTTTTCCCGTAGAAATTTAACATTATGAATATGTATATCGGTCAAATGGTCTACATTTGCATACTTTTCAGCTTATCAGGTTCGATAGCGTAACGTTATATAAAGAGTATAAAAAATGACTTCGCATAACTTTGGATATCTTATTGCAGAGTGACAGAGAAAGACGAGCCATTTCTTCTACCCTTTGAGAATGAGATAGAAACATGTGACATAACGGCGCTCCTCAAATTTAGCTACCTTGCCAGATATTTAGGTAATTATTGAAACTTTTGTGGTGAATTTTTTCGACTCACTTTAATTCCAGCAAATAAGCATGCACAGGTGTGTAACGATATCACATGAAGTTAGTGTGGCTTTTTGATGATTACCGGGCTCAACGCTATTGCGATATACCTGAGTCAACTTTTGATTTAGAGTCTAGTGAAGTGCCATGCTTAGAATGAGCAACAGACCATCCATCTTTCAATAACAGAGTTTCCAACTCAATCGCGATAATGACTAATTGCGCAAACCTTTTTGTGAAATGTTTCCGACATGGAAGTAATTCGATGAGCAGCGCTCTGCTGTTGAAATTAAGATGAAGCCAACTTCACAATAATCCAAATTTTTATTCATACAGGAGAGCTATATTAAAAATTAAATGTTTCCTACATTGGGACATCCTCTACATACTACGGAGGTTAGAGAGCGGAACAGAAACCCAATCGATACCCTTGAAGTAGCCACATTGAAGTGAACAACTCGAAATTCAGTCGTTGACCATTCTCAGTTTCTGAAGATCGTTATAGCGAAGAAAGATTTGTAAGCATCATAGCCAGAGCTCGATTTGTATCGAACTTCCATTTCTTTACTGTTTAGCTCAGAAACGAAACTCTATCAACAACTGATGACAATATTTTTCATGCTTGTCGTAGATTGTGCGCGGATTCTTTTCTCCCTCATTGACATACAAATCTCACACTTCATCAGTTTGAGAAATGAGTATATCATAATGAGTATAATGAGTACATCTTTTGTGGTCAAAAGACTGTGCAATTTCTAGCTCATTTCATACCCTACGTGGTATTGAGATTTGGGTGCGCCAAATGGTGGACTATTTTTCCTGTGGGATCCAGAGTTCTGAATGTGACTTTTGCAATTTCTTTGAAATAATAGGATACAAATATTCTTTCCATAAACGCTGCTTCCTTGAACTAGACCGTAAAATTTGCAAGTTGGGTTTCTGTAGTGTTTGACACATAATTTATACCTTCGTTATACAGAAGATGTGCCTACTGTTTGATTGTTAATAACTCTCTTGTAATGAAAAGGCCTTTTGCAAAGCTTCAAGTAGTTTGTAAAGCTGGCTTCAGTTTAGATCTACAAGATGAGCCAAATTAAGAATCCCTTTTCGTTACCGTAGGAGCACGGTAGGAACTTGCAGCATATGGCGCCACTGTGGAAAGGGTTTCGAAGAAATTGCCAAATAAATCTGAAAAATTGTGTAACAAAATTTCCATGTATGCTGATTTCAGTATTTCAGTACACAAATTTTTGCCTTTTGTAGAGCTTTTTGACTTTTTAAATAACCTAGACAGATTTTCGCCAATAGCAAAGGTTGGTTGTTGTCTTATATCTGATATAACTTATGAAAAATGCGTTACGGTGATGTGCGGTTTTATCTTTGGAATCAGCGATTCTAGCTAAGCTTGTGTAAAAGCTTTCAGCTTTTTTGATTTTATATAATGAAATTATGACCCATATTTGCTCAACACCCTCCTCAAAGCTCCTATCGTACTTACAGTAATGAAGAGGGATTTTTGGTTTGCATCAACTGTAAATCTAAGCTAAATCTCGAAAGACTTCATTAAACAAGAGTTACTGACCATCACACATTAGGCGCATATTTTTGAAACACCCTGTATATAGGATAGTCCAAAAGTTTCGTGGTATGTATTAGGTTGATGCAAAAATAATGGCCGTTTTCTCAAGTCTTTTTCCAAAACAACTTTTTTCAATAAAAAATCATCTTCGAAATAATGTAGCATATGATCGAAAAGTCTTTCCATGCTTTATCTGATGATGGTGTTGAAGCGCTTTCAGCTTCATCTGTTGAAGAGTTAGTTACAGAGCTTTAAATGACCGCATCCAAAATCAGAGTTTAGTTACATCAACTTGGCGGCCATACTATGACCGATGACCAGGGTCGAGCAAGGGGTGTGGCGCACAACCGCCGGATACGACCCCCTTCCCCTAAGTTCCGCCTCGATATCCCTCCCCCCCCCCATTTTGTTTGCCTGCCGTAAGCAAGGCATAAAGGCTTTACTTAGCATAGTTAATAGCATATGCGTGATTATCATGTCAGAAAATCCTTATGGGCCAAGTTTTAGCGAAATGTGAGATTTCCCAATATTGAGCCACCCAGATGAAGTGGCAACTTTCAAACAGGGTTGAACATATTTCAAACTAAATAAAGCTCTTTTTGTACTCAATATAAAGCACTACTCCAAGTTCGCCTATACCATGAATCCTGCTTCAAAAAACCATCAAACTATGGAATTAGGAGCCAACCAGAATTGATTCCGTCTGTCCCATTTTTCTTTGCAGTGGTTGTGCTTCCAGCAACTATACTCAAAGGAAAAAAACGAAATTACTTCTAATCACTTCTACAGAAACAACGAGGTAGGGGTTGTACCACAATTAACTTACCTCTAAAGAAAATTTTAGGAAACAAATTAGGTACACTTAGATAGCAAAAATCTCGCTGTTTCTGTTCAAGTGATTAAAAATATCTGCGTTTTTTTATGTCGTTGCTATTTTGCAATCATCTTCTTTACACAGGATAAAAAATTTGGAATTGTTTCTTCCAGGAAAAGAGTAGTCGTTTTCCTTTACCTATGCAAATGGAAAGTGCTGCGAAAATATTGAGTTACGGTAACATGCCTAGTCTGCGCTACTATATAAATCGAAAAGGTCGAAAGAAGACGACAAGGATAAGTACATTTGATAGAATAAGCCTCATAATTTACATAAAAGTGATTTGAGCCTGACTGGTCCTCTCTAATCTGAGACATTGGAAGCGGAAAATGGAACAAATGCGATTTTGGCTTGCTCGTAATTTTATAGTTTGAATGTTATTTGGAATTGAATCCCTATTGTGAGCGAAGAAGTAGTAGTTCTTTGTATTAAGTGCAGAAAAAAATAGTTAGCCTACCTTTATAACGAAGATAATATGTTTGTAAATGAATATCTTACTTGGATGGCACAATATTTCGAAGCCTCACAAGTCGCTGAAACTAGGCCCACAGGGGTTATTCGACATGTTAGTTAATAATGCTCTTATGCTTATTGTGCTCTTCTATTACGTTTGCTGTAGTATACGATGGCAGGTCAAAACATCAATGTGCAAATCTTTACACAGTGCCTATATGACATTGTTGACGAATATCATGTTATCGCTAACATCAGCTCACCTTGATAACGACCCCCCCCCCTTCCCGACTCCTCAATACGATCCCCCAGGTGGAGCATGCCACACTTCATGCTTGACCCTGCCCATAAGTTTGTTCTGAAGGCAATCGCCAAAGCTTTGCTCCTGTAAGCGTAAGGGTGAGGCATCCCGTTGACAGTTTTTGCGAAAACATTCCTGGTTTTGTACTCAGACAATTAGAAGATGCTATAAATCGGAACTTTAAAACTTCAAATCGGAACTTTAAAACTTTCTTAAAAATGTTGAAAAAACCGACGGTCTTAAATTTTAATTTTTTTTTCTTTCGCAGACTTCTTTGTCCAAACCCGTTTCATTTTCTTTTGTGCTACTGGCTTGCGGTTACATGATAGCAGCTTATCAATCATATTAACAACTTTTGAGGCATGATCTGTCAAAAACAAGGTTTAAAAAAACTTTTTTGCTTTTCAATACAATTTTTTTCTGCCCGCTTGTGATGTAAACATAGATGAATGTGCGTTATGTCGCAAAAAAGTTCGCTGCTTTTGATCTTGATCGCGTTCAAAAATTTAGAACTTTCAGAAAGTTATAGCACCTCAGAGTGTAAATTCGCGAATGTCATTATTTTTGCATAAGCCTACGACTGTACACCAAATCTCATAAAACATCGGTCGAATGGTGAAGTGAGCATTGTCGTGAGTTTTTTCTATTTTTTTGTTCACTCCGCTTTTTCTGTAACCTATGCCGCCCTTCCGGCATTGTCGCCCTGGCTCTTCGTGACCTTGACAGAAGCAACAAGATTTCCTTTTTTTATGAAATTTTCTTTCACACAGAAGCTTTGGTGTATATCACATGGAGTAAATCCTTTCCTAAATTGATATTACTCTAGAAGAGTTGGTTTGGAGTTCTCTTAACTACTTTCATAAGAAATTCCACTTTTTTACACTTTTCGTATATCTAGCGAGATGAACTATGAGTATAAATCTGCTTAGAAAAGGTATAAGGCCGACCTAAGTTAGGTGACTTTCCCCGTCAAAGTTTCACAAATCTTGCTCTTCGAATTTGTGTAGAAGTGTGTAATGTGTTTGTGAATCAATTTTTGTAGAAGTTATCCCGTGTTCAGTGGTGCGTTAATGGAGCGTGATAAAAAGCTAGTGACTCTTTTCAAAACAACGCTTCGCAGCTAGTAATAACCAGGGTAAAGCGGGGGGTGCGGCACGCGACCGCCGGATACGACCCCCCCCCTCTTGGGCCGAACCTCGGCACGACCCCCCCGCCATTCCCTACCCCCCCCCCCCCTCCCTCCACCCCATAAGCCTATTGAAATGTAAGACCGTAAATAGTGCTGTGTGTCGCTAGCTTCATGCGATCTCGGGTTTTTCTCAGAGTTTTCAAGTTGTTAAAGATCGATAAAATGGTGAAACTATTCTTGGTGTATTGTCATTGCTGTAGCATAAGCTTCATATGATTTTATTTTGAAGACACTTTATGAGAGGGTAGGAAGAAAGCAAGATTAAATAAAATGCCTGCATAAGATTGAGCGAATTTGGTTCATAAAGCTGCAATCATCTCTGGAAAGGCCTTGAATAGATCTGCCTTCAAACCAAAATCAGACACCTGGAAGAAATGCCAAACATTTAAAATGGCCAACAGAAATTATGCATCCTTTTCATGCTCTAAACGCGAACTAGATATATATAAAGAAGGTAGACGTTTACCTGGAAGATTGGCCCATCGGGATTCTTGTTAATTCTCAACCTCAAAAAAGATGACTTCAAAAAAGCTGTTGTTGAGTTGAATAAAAGAGAAATGAATTTAGTAACATGGAAAAATGGTTTTTTAGCTGACCGTAATAGCAGCGACTTGCTATTGATACATACCTTGCTGTCCTTCATTCCAACAATGCTGTATAGCACCAGAGATAGCAATAGCGTTATACAATTCCTGCAAATATATTTTCAATGTCCAAAATAAATTACTGAAATTGCTACGGACCGGTGCAATAATTTTTCCAGTCTGTCCAACTTGCATGTCATTATGCACATAACCAGAGTCTACAGCAGCTCGCGTACACTGAAAAAATTCATTGCAAAAAAGAGTATGGAACAAAACGAACTAACAAAGAAGTAAAATAAACAAGCAAAAAAATTGAATTGCCCTGAAAAAAAAATGAGATGAAAGATGCCAACCTTGCTTGTACTGCATAGTATTCGGGCAATCTGTCGATGAGTATTTTTGCCAGTGGCCAGGCACCGTCCTCGATGAGAGCGCAAACCAGTCCAAGTTTTTGATTTGTTGAAAGCACGGCTTCCTAAATTGAAACATTAATCCCGGTAGAAAGCGAGTTCACCTAACAGGGCGAAAGCTTTCATCGAATGGGCCAAAACCGACCTCGTTGAGCTCAGCCGCAAGTTTAGCATCGTCGGCTTCTTGGATTGCAGCCACTGTGGCAAAAGAAACCCCAACAATGGACTGCCCAGTATCCATAGCATCAATATTCGAGTTGCGAGAAACTTCTAGAGGGATGTTTGACGCAAGGATTGTTTCTGCCTAGAAGGATGGTATTGAAAACTATGTACAAGTCACCAACTATACGCTCAAGTATACTGCATCAGTAATAAAAAAGGCAGGGATTTTGAAGATCTGAGCAAGCAAATCAAGGGATTTATAGAGGTCTGCGAAAATCTAGGGCAAAGCCAAAGACTTACCTTTCTAGCCCTTTCTCCAGCTTTTGCTGCACGTGCGCGATGTGTTTCTTTGATTCTCTGTGCTTTTGGTACCATCTAAATTCACAGAATATCCATTGGCAATGAACATGAGCACTTTAAGCGAGCGACTTTAGACTTACAAAGCCCGTTATTTTCATCAGATCGATCATGTCCTCTTGAATCAAAGACGATGTCACAACATACAACGAAAAGGGTGTCTCTTTCCCTGCAGCCTGAAAAACTCGATTCAGAAAATCAACATTGTACATCATATCCAAATGTCTATCGGTTATCGGCTTCATATGACAAAAAAAAATTTCGAGAAAATCAAAAGACTTACATGATAGAACGTGTACTTGAAATCAAGAAGGGTGCACAAATAATCCTTGTTGGCTTTGATTTCTTTCAGGAGAGCAATATAAAATTCCTTCTGAGAAGCGCAACACTCAAAGCACACCAAAGCAATGTCTGTTACCCGATTCGGGTCAAGATTGAACTGACCTAAAAAGGGAAAGTAATGCAAAAACCTTTGACTTTCATGGGTATAACGAAGTAACCAGATCGCAAAAAGCAATCCACCGACGGTAGAGTTTTACTTGAATTACTTACCGATCAGACACAACACTCTCGTCATCATAGTCTTTGCTGGTATACCACCTCCGCCATCCATCAGCTCTGTTATCAGCTTCGCATATCCTTCACTTTCTTCGCGCAGTAAGTTGAACTTGGCTTGCTTGCAGCTGAATCAGAAAAAGCATTGTAGCAATGAAATATGGCAAAAGTTTGCAGTACTAGAGTGTAAGCATGTTAAGAAGATCAAATGTGTTCCAAAGTGGACCTTGACGTGTTTTCGAAACCAGCAATCGATAAAAACTATCTCAAGCATTATTTTAGGTAAATCGTTCCACGAAACAAACATACACTATTTCTTAGAAACGTCTGTAATCATGCTTAGTGTATAAACACAAACGTCAGGAAGCAAATACCACCATGATGCTTTAAAAAAATTTATAAAGCGGAAAAGAGAAAAAAAATGCATACGAAAATAAACTCACTAGAGCCTAGTTTTCAACCGCACAAGCTGTTGCTTATTTGTTGGCAGAGACGCCTCTAATACATCCAGTTCGATCTTCAGAATGTCAGCAGGAATGATCTAAACAGCAAACGTATTTTTAGAAGATACATGTTAACCTTATCTGCCACCAGACCAACGAATTCAGCAAATTTTGGTACAGGTTTATCTTTGACTTCGCTATTTTGTGCATCACCTTCGACGGATACGAGTACATCAAGAAGGAGAGACGGCAGAAGCGGAAAAGTTGTCTAAATTATGCAGGACATAAATTATTGAAAAATGTGAGGTGAAACACAAAAGGCAAAAATGATTTTCATTGGTACAGACACATTACCTTCAACTCTTCAAGCTTAGCGAAAGCATCTTGCGGTGAGATTTCGAGAGTGATCACCTTCTCACATATGTCAAGAACAAGCAATTGTGCATCTCCACCGCTTTTTGATAGCGACATTCAACGCTAAGGCGCACACTGAAAAATAACTCAAATACAACACTAAACGAACAGAATTTCCCAAACATGTGTTGAATAGCAACGCACAAACATCGTGGGCCACGATGTTTGTGCGTTGCTACTGTGCCTCTGTGTGTTTTGACAATCTTTCTAGCGCTACCGTAACCCAATATTTTTTGGCCACACTTCCCAGCATATGGTTCGCAAAAACCATATGTATTTCCTTCTAAAGAAAAAGGTTCGAGGGAAAACAGCTACTACGGAGAGAGGAAGGATGAATCTAAAGGATGATATGAAAAAGGCAGCTGTTTGAACGATTTGAAGGTAAGTTAATGGCCTGCGGCACCCCCCCCCCTCAAAACCTGCGGCAGCCGCAGGTTTTGAGGGGGGGGGGTGCCGCAGGCCATTAACTATATCAAAAAAGCATTTTTAGCGGACAATATTTATATGAATCAATAGCCTAAACCTCATAGATTCCATAGGGATGTTTTGAGCCTGATTCGTCTTCTTAGCTCTGAGTAATATTTGGTGAAAGCACAGCGATCAAAAGCTAAAAGCGATTTCGGTTGGCTTCTAATTCAATAGTTTAGAGGTCTTCTGAAGCGGGATTCCTGAGGTGGACAAAGAAGGAGTAGTGCTTTGTATTGAGTGCAAGAAGAGGTAGCTTACTCACCGTTAAGATGAAGTTAATCATGTTTTAAATTACTGCTTTATACAAGGTTGTTTACTGCTCGGAGACCTCAGAGTTCGCTGAAACTTGGCGCATAGGGGTTATTCGACACGCGGATTACGACAATTATGCTTGATTAGAGGTACGGTAGGTTACGGTAGGCATACGCTATCTGCAAGTTTGTGTCGTTCAACTTGAATTTTGCAGGATTTCAACAACGTGGCACATCTAAGAACTTAGCTGCAGTCATTTCCCCTTAGAAACCTCTTTTGACCTTGGGTCGATACGACCCCCCCTACCTACCCCCCCCCCTTACGACCCCCCCTACCTACCCCCCCCCCTTACGACCCCCCCTTGCGGCGTGCCGCACCCCCCGCTTTACCCTGGTAATAACAAATTTGGACTCAGCGTTTCAAGTTGATTCCGAACATATGTGCCGTTTAGCAAAAGACCGACCCAAGTTGGGCGCCCTCCCTTGTGAGAAGCAGATCGGAAGATCTTAGAAGCACTGATTTACAATACAAGATTTGTCTTTTTCAGTGCTTGCAGTAAGTTAAGTATTAGCCAAGTTGAGCGCATCTGGAGAATGAAGAATTTCAACCTTCAACTCTGTTCTGCCGTACAGGTTTGTTATGGTGGCAGATTTATTAGTACTGGCCTAACGTTTCGACGCTTTCGTCGAGGCCTGAAAACGACTCAAGGCATCATCCGTAATAAGAGACCATCAGATATCTCCTCTAACTCAGCCAGTGCTAATAAATCTGCCACCATAACAAACCTGTACGGCACAACAGAGTTGAAGATTATAAGCAATGCCCAAGTTTAAAGAAAACACAACATGGAAATTATTGAAAGAATTTTAATGTTTGTTTGGTACCATCTGTCTCACGAGGTTTATAATTCGTAATGAGTACATGAAATGCCTCCAAAATTTCATTGTTTTTTCAAAACCTTCCAGCAAGTTACGGCGAGTTGCAGCGAAAAAACACTCTAAACTGTATTTGACACAGCTTTTTCCAGTTTCTGAAAATTATGCAGGCATAGTGGTCCTTCCACTAAGATAACTGCTAATTTAAAACTATTCGACTTACTTCGCTCAACTTTGATCATCTTGATTCAGCTCAACTATAATCCATATTTGCTCTATCCAAACCTCACAAGCTCTATTTAGACAAGCATCATTCAATGTGCTTTTCACATTTGACACTATCAGGTCGTTCCAGAAGTTCGTATCGTTTTCATTTTCGTCCTCATTTCTTTGAGGAGCTTTTGATTTGCGGCAAGATGCATAGATAATTGGAAAATGTCGATTATGCTGTTTAAAATATGTCTACAAATTCCAGTGGGAAGCCGATTTACTCGGATCTCTTAGCTTCCAAAGATGGAAATGTTGAAGGGCAAAAAGGAGCAATTTTGGCATTTGAGCATTTTTTCTCATGAAAAAAATCGTTTTTGCGCAGAACTCTTGTCGAATATGGAACATAGCGCTTGCACATCAATATGAGACAAAAAAGAATTGGATCGCTACAAAAGATCAAAGGCATGAGCAGGGTGAACCTCAACAAGACTTTTAGGGGACGGCAGGAGGACATGCATGGAAATTGCTAGACAAGTAGGCAACGGTTAAACACCGTAAGCAATTCGACTTTACCGTTTAAACCAAGTCCTACCGTAAAAAAAGCCCAATAGGCAGATCCAGTGGTTTTTTTTTTGCATGGCGAAAAATGACCACATACGGCAAACATCGTCAAAACTGTCCTGCAAGATCTGAGTGATATGTATCTCAGTGCCCAATGTAGTCTCCAAATCTCGCTTTATCAGTTTATCATTTGTTCCGCTCTCTCACAAACCCCAAGAATGGTGATTGTCTAGATTTCAGTGAGTAATTTGATCGCTGGTTAGATGACTTTTTTGGGACCCGGCGTGCTGTTGAAAAACTGAAATTGAGAAGCTAACAGGAATGTGCTAAAAGATCGTGCGCTACATCGAGGAATATATTACTGACTGATTTTTACCGTAAATTGATGACTCTGTTGGTTTATAAAAACGCGACGAACTTATGGAACGACCTAATATATTCGCAACCTAAATCGTCGTTGCAGAATGAATCCTTCTAGCTTACTAAGTACTTGAATGCCCGT